CAAATCTAAAAAATACGAATGCAGTGATAAATCACAAGTAAAAACTCATCATATTTTGCACATTTTGGATAGAATTTATTCGGCAAAATTTTGAGATGATGTCATCATCAATTTCTTGGGGGGAATAAACAGATATATTTAGTTACATGCTTACAATAACTTTAAAACATCTGCAAAATTTCAAAGTATTAATTTTTGCAGTTCTTGATTTATTCAATAAAATAAATTTACTGATTGATTCATGTTTTTTTGAGTCACCCTGTATAAGCAAATCTAAAAAATATTAATGCATTGATAAATTACAAGTATAATTTAATCATATTTTGCACATTTTAGATGGAATTTATCCAGCAAAATTTTGGGATGACATCAACAATATGATTTTTAAAAAAAGACATTTGGAACCCCCGAGAAGGTTTCGCATTCTTAAAACAAAACAGTCACAGTTGGGACCCCTTGGAACCTTTCACGTTCTAAAAAAAAAAAACATTTGGCGCCCTCGAGGAGGTTGTACATTTAAAAAATATATAATTGGGGCCCCTGAGAAGGTTTTATGTTTTTAACAAAAACCAGTTGGGACCCTCGAGAACGTTTCACATTCTTAAAAAAGACATTTGGCCCTCTTGCGAAGGTTTTACATTTTTAAAAAAGACAATTGAGACCCCCCTAGAAGGTTTCACATTCAAAAAAAAATTCATCAAAAGTTGTTTCATCAGAACTTCCCTCGCTTCTGAAGTAGAATGAAACAAAAAATAAACACCCAATTAGATTTAGGAATTTAACTACCTAGTTACTATGGAAATTTGAGATTTAACACCTTTTAAATTTAACAATTTAAGTTTTTACAAGATTAATAGGGGCAAAATCAGTCGTATCTTAGCAAGTACTAACCCCGCCCATCCGCCGCGTATTTTCTCAGAGCATATGTCATTTGCCAAAATAAGTCTTATCTTAGCAAGTACTAGCCCCACCCACCCGCCCTCTATTTTCTCAGAGGTTATGTTATTTGCCAAAATAAGTCTTACCTTAGCAAGTACTAGCCCCGCCTACCCACCCCCTGTTTTCTCAGGGGATATGTCATTTACCAAAATAAGTCTTATCTTAGCAAGTACTAGCCCCGCCCACCCGCCCTCTAATTTCTCAGAGGGTATGTTATTTGCCAAAATAAGTCTTATCTTAGCAAATACTAGCCCCGCCCACCCACCCCCTGTTTTCTCAGGGGATATGTCATTTGCCAAAATAAATCTTATCTTAGCAAGTACTAGCCCCGTTCATCCGCCTTTTATATTCTTAAAAGGTATGTCATTTGCTAAAATGTTAGTATTTGTCTGATAAGACTAATTTTGGCAAATGACATATCCTTTGAGAAAATAGAGGGTGGGTGGGCGGGGCTAGAACTTGCTAAGATAAAACTGATTGTGGCTTCAAAGACTTCAAAGTATTAATTTTTGCCATTCTTGATCAATCAATAAAATAAATTTACTGATTGATTCATTATTTTTTTTGAGTCACTTGTATAAGCAAATCTAAAAAATATGAATGCATTGATAAATTACAAGTATAGACTCATTGTACTTTGGACATTTTAGGTAAGATTTATCCGGCAAAATTTTGAGATGATGTCATCAATTTGATTTTAAAAAAAGACAGTTGGGACCCCCGAGAAAATTTCACATTCTAAAAAAAAACATTTGGCACCTTCGAGATTTTACATTTAAAAAAAAAGACAGTTGGGATCCCCGAGAAGGTTTCACATTCTTAAATAAAGAAATTTGGGGGCCCTAGAAGGATTTACATTTTTAAAAAAGACTGAGTTGGGACCCCCGAGAAGGTTTCACATTAAAAAAAAAAGATATTTGGGGCTACCGAGAAAGTTTTATATAAAAAAAAAACAACTGGGACCCTTGAGTAGGTTTCGCATGCTAAAAAAACATTTGGCGGCCCCGAGAAGGTTTCACATTCTTCTCAAAACGGATTCGTACATCACACTTATAGAACTATATTTTTGCATAACAGTTAAATCAAATATAAAATTCTTTGAAATGGCGTCATCAAATTATTGATGCATGATATTTGCAATATAAATACAGACACCAGACAGACAGACAGACAAACGGAAACGGGAGACTACTTTTTCGTCATGAAACGTCGAGAAAACATAAAAGTGGCAATTCGTTCGATGGACTCGATTACTATATGCTCGGGAAGTAAAAATGGTATACTAATGACCATAACGTTCTAATAGATATTAAACGTAAGTTCTGTTCGCCGATATTTTTCATTCTAAATTTTCTCTATTGTGTCATGTTATTCATGTCATAAAACAAAAAGATCACTTATTATGAAACTTAATTTTAGGACAATTTTATTAAAAATACGGTCATTTATAGAGGGCGTTGTGACATCACCAAGTATTAATGCTTTCGTTGCGCTTTTATGTGACTTGTAATTTTTGTGGTCAATTTTAATACGAAAAAAAAATCCTACCGAAAATGAGAAAAACTTTTAATTTTGGAAAAATAACTGACAGATTTCCATTCAAAAATAGTAAGTTGTAAATTATTAAGTTGTTATTGCATATTAAGAGAGCTATTTAATAATAATCCATATTTTTTACTGCCACGTTTCCAGCTATAGAGCTTCCCTTTCACCAGTATTATACAATAAGGACTATCCATTGTGTTGATTCTAATGAAATTAATCATACCTGCCCTATTCTCTCGGTAAACAATAATTTGCATTGATTCCGCCCACATATTCCGAATACGTTTGAATCAATATGTCAAATTATAAACAATTTTGATAATTCACTACCACGAACAATCGCACTGCACAACGTGACATTTCAATTTACCGTCTGAATATTATTTATTCCGATTATGATTAGCGAGTCAATGTGATGACTTAGTCATGATTGATACATTATTCCCGTGAACCACATATTATTAAACTTTATTGTCAAGAACAAATTTGATGACAGTGCATTTGTGGCTCATCGTTAGTTACATAGTGCATTTACAATGATGTGTTAATATTTAATGGACAGAGTATTTCCCACAGGGGTCATGCTTACATTTCATATGTAAATTTTACGATTTAAAACATCATATTTGATGGTGCTATCTGGCGACTCTATGTGACTCTGAAATTATCAAACACTCATTCATGAAATTTTGCCTTTTGTAAATGTATATAAATATAATCATGACACTACAATTTTTTTGTATTTCAACAGGTTTAACAAATTCCGAATTATTTATTAAACATTGTACTTGCTACCAGAGCTGCCTGACTGAAAACAAACATAATAACGCAGTAATCTGTTCTATTTATACTAAAATCTGTCTCGCTATTTGTATTTGATGAAATTTTATTGCGTCTGCTTCTACAAACGTTTACTATTAAGCGTCTACAAAGACCCAAGTCTGTACCAGTATTAATAAACTCAGGTGGAATTTTCGGTAGAACGGTTCGGAGTTGAGTCAGACTACATTTTACAATTATTACTATCAGGTAATATACCGTAAATACGTTTAAGTCGAGTGTTCATATCTACAAAGTCAAAACAAAGTTTGTATTGCTATGTAAAACGTTCTTGATAGCAGCTGGTACGTATATCAACAGATATTTATACGTCGCAGTGCGCCATTCATATAACTTACAGGACCTGAAATGAACGGAAAAAGTTAAAATATGATCTCTCTCCCAGATTTTATGTGGTGGACTCGGAATCGTCTAAACGGTAGTAAAAATAAACCATATGAGGTAAATAAATATCAAGAAGTTTCGTATACAGCTCTCAGAACTAAGTTTGCATCGTCTGATAGATATTAATCCGGGCGACGAAATTCGAGAAAGAAAAAGACTCATTCAAAGCAAAACCCGTTGAATGATTTCTTTATTCTCGAAAAATCGCTGGAGAAATCGGGAAAGTACAATTAAAAATAATTAATACAACTTTGAACTGCACAGTTCCACTCATAATTTGAGAGGCTGCTGGTGAAAATGTGTTCATTAACGTTCGTTTGCTCTTCACGGGTTCATTATTAAGAAATAACGTAAGAGCTTCCGTCGCTGAATCGTTGTGTTAAAAAATTAAGCTCTTGCTTAATAATTAAACGTGCAATTTAAATTCTTTTATTGTGAATAAACAGTTTAGCATTTCGCTGCCTTTCCTGTGATTAATACATAATGAGTTTATGACCGGCTGTTGCCGTGAAAGTCTCTCGAAAATTGTACACCGACAATGACCAAACCATAAACCATCTCTAAATGTTAAGTGCCACGCTAAATATTTGTTTCATAATTACCGCGCTAAAGACATTTTACAGCTCCATCCAGGTCCTTGTCAAATTTATGGCTTCTTCAGATAAATGACTTTTCCCTGTTTCAGGGGGTGCTGGCACTTCCAAGAATCAGTCATTTATTACATTTTTGGCAGTTAACAGAAATGTCACTTGACACGATGCATACAAAGGAAATACTTAGTTGAAATGTGGAATTATACGAGTATGTGTACAGGGTACAGGTGTATGTACAAAAAGGTGAATTTAAATGCCACCAGCATAATAAGGTTGTGAAGAGAAACACAGAAACGTCTTGACGTTGGCTACCAGTCCGGCTGTAAAAGCGGCAATAAAATCAAGAACACAAAGTGCGGATTCTACGATCTTCTCAAAAAGACTATAAAGAAATAAATCAATAATATTGTAAATACATCAGCACTTTCGTTCCGGTAGCCCCTTGGAATTGCACCTGTACTTAAAAGGTTTACTGTCCTTGAGTACAGGATGATTTATTGGCTCTAAATCGACAAATATTGTACCACGCCACACTAGAACATTTGTCATGTGTTCTTGTGACCGTCAAAAACAAATTCGTCCCAGGAATAAAACTTATTTGTTAGTACTGCAGAATCTCACTCAGATAAAACATTAATTTTATTCATTCTCATTAAATTATGTTAGTTTGAAACTATAATTCCAATCAGAATCACTTACCGGCAGCGCATCACACGTTTCGATGGGAAGAGGATCTTCAGTGCAGTACATCGGGTCAGACGGTTGAAGTATGGGCGGCCTGGGGGGCGGTGGAAGTAGGAATTCCGGAGGCGGCCCGGGACAATCGCATTCAGCTGCCGTTTCCATACCCCACATGGCCTCAAGACCTGGCGGTGGATCTTCTCCGTATTCTCGAGGCCTTTCCATAGACCTCACCCGATTACTGGAAAATAAATGACGATATTAAAAGCATACTTTAGAACTTGACGCGTATAATGTTCCTGATAATGTTTATTTATTCACGATAATGAGGTTGTTGGATAACAATGGTGTTTTCATGGCTGATTTCACGTGGTGGGTGTCGATCGGGTTATTAATTGCGAATCATAGCTGTGTGCGAAATGTTCCCTATTTGTATCCATTATATAGTTGGAAAAATTTTAAGCAAATAGTGGGAATAATGGACATGTGCGGAGTGGATTATGTTCACTAGAGTTAAATTATAAAAAAATATTTATATAGTGTAAGTCAGGTACCTACTTTCATAGCCGATTCGTATAGGGAGAGAATATTTGTTCCGTTTATGATTAAATCACAAGTTCCCCTATTTCGGCTGCTTATAATGTTATGATCCAACACTTTTTTAAATGTAGGTATGTAAAAACAGAAACCTGAAAATATTGGTTCCCCTAATTAGTGTATTATCCATTCACGATCTTTATATAATAAAGTAGGCTTTGATATTTTTTTTTAAGTTGGATAAATTGATTTGATGATTTAGTTTCTTTGTCTGCCAAATCGTATCAAAAACTAAAAATTAAAAAAATCGAGAAATTGAACAATAAAAAAATCAAAACATTGAAATCCCAGTAAGTTGATAAATAGGAAAATTTAAAAAACAAAAATTTTAAAAATACAAGAATTGAACAACAAAAAAAATCTAAGCCTGAAAACTCAGATTATTGAATGATCGAGAACAAAAAATCTAAAATTTAAAAATTCGACAAATTGAAAAATCATGGAACTGAAAAATCGAAAAGTCGAGATAGTGAGAAATCTAAAAACCTAAAACTTTAAAAACTGAAAAATTAAAATATCGAAAAATTTAAAAACCGAGAAAACACAATATCAAAAATTTGAAAAATTGAAGAAACGAGATATTGCAAAATTCCAAAGCTGAAATATTGAAAAACCTAAAAATGGAAGGAAAATTAAAGAATCGAAACAGTGAAAAAATCCCAAACTGAAACATTGAAAAATTGAGAAATGGAAAAATGGGAAAATCAAAAAAATTGGTCTAAAGAGTTTAGACAGTACTTCCCTCGCTATCGGAAACGTGACGACTGCATGCCTATTATGTTTTTTTTCACATTAGATTTCACGCTGTATATCCGAATCCAAAAAATATGAATGAAATGATAAATTACAAGAAGAGATTCATCATATTTTGTAAACTTTAAATAGGATTATACGGCAAACTTTTGAGCTGACGTCATCAATTTTTTAGAGGGGATAAGTAAATATATTGTGATTAAAACGGTCTTGGTTTAATAACAAAAAAATATTGTTCGTCTATAAAAAAAGCTCGTCTTAGACAAAGTATTTGTAAAAAAATATGTCGTAAAAAAATTTGCGTATGCTGGTCCCAACTGCGATTATGGTTTAAATATTTTTTAGAAAATCCTGTCACAGATGTAGAAACATTTGTGACAGCTAAAGAGGTTTTTTTGAGAAAATTATCTTTGAATTTAGACCAAATTGAAACAGACACTAGGCAACAGGCACATTTGGGCAAAAGAAAGAGAAATTAGGGTTACGGTTTCAAATTTTGGACGTATTTACAAACTTAGACCGACTACAGCAATAGCTAAAACTGTGGAGTGTCTGTTGTACAGTACATTTAGAGGTAACAGTCATACATACTATGGACAGCAAAATGAGGAAAAAGCTGTCAAGTGTTTTGAAATAAATAAAAATATAAAAACTGAACGGTGTGGCTTGTTTATTTCAAAACAATTTCCTTACTTGGCTGCTAATCCAGACAGGGTCTAGAGGATAGGAGTGCATTAGTCGAAATTAAATGCCCTTCAAAATCGCAAGATTTGTCTCCCGAAAAAGCGGTTAGAAAAAAATAATCAAATTTTGTACATTGACAGACAGAGAATTGAAACTAAAAAAAGAATCATGATTACAACTTTCAAGACCAGGGACAAATGCTTGTTACGGGTATTTCACAAGTTTATTTTGTTGTGTAGACACCCAAAGGAATAAATATAGAAAAAAATTATAAAGACGAAGAAATATGTAAAAAGATGGCAGATAAACTTGGCAGATTTTACTTTGGCGCATTATTGCCCGAAATAATTGATTCAAGAAAAAAGAAGAACCTGCCTCTGCGAGAGATTTTTTTAAAACAACTAAAATTTGTTTCTATTTTTTTATGTACTTTAATAATTTACTAGTACATTTTTCATCACCAAGACTTGCATATTTTTATTATAAATATATTTTGAAAATGATCTCTCGGCAAAAGAAAACATATACGAGCACTTTTTTCGAGTAAACAATGAAGGGAGAAGTTACTGGGCGCAGGGCTTTTTTAAAACACCTCGTTTCTGGGATAAGTAGTAGATACACTTAGCTACTTATACGTGTTAAACAAAAGCTGTATTTTATATATTTTTTATTATTATTATAAATATGTTTATTAGTTTTATTAATTAAGAAAGCAAAATATATATTAACAATAATATTACAATTAATTTTTAGTAATCATGTGTACTGAATTCAGGATCCTGAGTGGAGTAAAAATATTATAGTTATAGTTATAGTTTTAATTCAGTTTTATGATGGTACCTCATTGGGTAAAAGTTAATTTCTTTAACAATAGATTACTACGGCCGGTCCTGGCGGCTTGTTATAAAACTGAGTTCCTTGCCATAAATTAGAAAAATCAGCCGACAACTCTAACAATCAGCTTATGGTAAAGCAGGCGATAAGGATTTTACCTGGAAAGTCGCTTCCGTAAATTTTAGTGGCGCTCCTACCGGCAAAGTACTAACTGCTCAAATTCTGTCGAATTGATACCCATTTTTTTCAATAATTGTTAGTGTTTGTTAAAAACTCTGCTAACCAATAGATCATTAATTTTCCTCTGATATTCCTGTTAAAATTATTCGACGTATTTTGCATTAATTTGTGGTATATTTTGATTTTAATAAACACATTATTATTTAAACAAATTGTACCACTAACAAACATTTAATGACTCTGCGCCCTGTAAAAAGTGATGTTTTATCCATGTGCGAATTTTCAAGCGATTCTATGATGGTTATGACTCAAAAAACTTGAAAAGAAAACATAAAATGGTGCTTTTTTTACAATATTTCTCAGCCATATTTTTTTAGTTGATTGAACTGGTCTCTGCGCTCTAGAAAATGAAAAAAGCTGCAGTTTGATGTATGATACATCTATATTAATATCATTTTTTCATACAAAAAACCAAAAAAATGTTATACCTCGTCTAGCGAGTCCAATTTTAGTGTTTGTTCCTTACATATGAAATGAACACTACAAAAAGCCTGTTTTAAATAGCGTAAAGTTTTATGCTTTCTAAGAAATGGATACCGTTAACTTGGTCATTGCTACTGAAAACTGAAAGTATCGGCAACAATGTTTATATTTCTGGCATATTTTTTAACCTTTAATTTAATGCAACACAACCTAACGAAAAAAGTTCAGGGAATTTTTATTCTTCTGCATCGAATACCAACAAACTCACTAGATTTTCATGGCCAACCCTATATAAAGATCGTGAACGGATAATAAATATTTTTTATGATAAAGTTGGATTTTCTTTCAGCAACTTTTATCTTATAATAGACATTTCTGTAAACAATAAATTCAGAAATTTATATATCTCCGTAGATTTTTTAGAAGAAATTTGATAATGCCATACCTATAGCGGGTGTCTGGAAAATTAAAAGATTAACTCTTCAGTCCGTTATGTACGTGGGTTTCGGGAGTCCCAAAAAATAACAAAAAAATTCTTTATGATGTAGATTCTGAGTAACGATGGTGACTGAAATCCTTATTTATTTTTTGGACAATAACCATAACAACCAGTAGTAATTAATTGTGGATTATTATTAACAAAACAAACTGTCATTTTTCATTAATAAATAAACAAACAAAAAAAAGAATACATTTATAAGTTATAAACAAAAACAAAACCAACAAAAGAAAAATCCATTAATGCATAACCAACTAAACACTAGAGAAAATTCCTGTCTTGTGCATATAAGTAGGTAAACTCGTAATGTTCCGAAAATTTGATCACTTTTTGTAACAGTTGGTCATCAGTATTTGCTAAGATAAAACTGATTTTGGCAGATGACATTTCCTCTAAAAAAACAGGGTGGGTGGGTGGGGCTAATACCTACTAAGATAAGACTGATTTTGGCAAATGAGATATTCTCTAAAAAAAGAGAGGGTGGGTGGGCGGGGCTAGTACTTGCTAAGATAATACTGATATTGGCAAATGACCTACTTTCTAAAAAATGAAGGGTGGAAGGTATATCATTTGACAAAATCAGCCTTCTCTTGGCAAATATTTGCCCCGTCCACCCACCCTTTATTTTCTGCAAGGGTATGCCATTTGGCAAATCAGTCTTATTTTGGCAAGTAGTATCCCCACCCGCCCGCCCTTTATTTTCTTAGAGGGTACTTGAAAAAGTTGAAATGGTCAGTATTTGTCAACACAACATCACTGATTGTCCTCAACTGTGGAGTCAAATAAACATCCATGTACCTCAACCGAAAACTAACATCTTAAAATCGTCACCACTTTATCACGCAATTTACAATTATTCTAGAATAGAACATGATGTTGATATATTTTACTGCAAACCCTCAGATATGAAATTTCCTCATCTTACTGTCCTTTAGTAACGGATAACTTTCTCTTTACTGTCTTTATTTGCAAGATGGCCGACGTTACATCACAAATTGAAAGAGTGCTCTGTTTTGTTTGTGGATCAGGGGCAGTAAAAAAACGTGTGTAACTGTGTTTTGTTCGGATTGTGGTGTGTGGTCACATACGAGCTGTTACAACAAGAAAAATTGTTGTGACACAAGTTCTTCAGTTACGACAGAATATTTCTCTACAAGTAATGACGACGACGGATCAGATCAGAATAACTTATTCATTCAACAGACCCTGCTATGGGAAAATTCGATATTAAAGGATACGACAAAGGATTAGAAGAACTCAATTGAAGATTTGTGTTTGGTAATAAATGATCTACTTACAAGGAACTCGAGCTTAGAAAAAAAATTTCATGAGCAGATGAGAGAAGCAGAAATGAAACAACGGCAAAAAGATACATTGACATAAGAACAGTAGATTTGTGTTACTAGAATTCATCCTAAAACAAAGGAAGATGACGTATTAGAATAAGAAAACTGCTCTACTGGAACCAATTGTACGTCTGAAAAGTTTTCTACATTTAAGATTACTAGAGCTAAAATTAAATCGGAATTTTGGCCACAGGGCGTCAAAGTAAGCAGATTTTATTTTCCAAAATCGATTTTTACAAAAGTCCAAGGGAAAGGGGCCACACGTAAAACTTGTATTTACACCAAAAAATAACTTCGTTTCATCTTGTACACCAAAATATACAAGGTTTGGCCAACAAAATAGAAAAGCTTCAAGTTATGTATTATCTGAAATAAAATCTAGTATTGTAGTACTTAGCGAACATTGGCGGTCTTCTTACCAAATTAAGCTTATCAACTTGGAAAGCTATTTATTATGTTCTAGTTTCTGCCGTGACAAAATAAGACATGGTGGCGTATCAAACTTTGTCAACTCTAATTTAAAATCTGCAGACTTGACCACAGATTAAAGAAAAATCTATAGTTAATGTTATAGAATGCTGTGCGATAGATATTTTAAATATAAACTCTCCATAGTATCTAATAATATTTAGAACAATTGAACGATGTTAACCAAAAACATCCTAACAGTCAGAATTTAATGTCAAAAACTAATTTGTAAACATCCTTTATTTGTCTTAATTATTTTTATACCAAAATTTGAGGTAAAACTATGCGCCTTTAATAAATCTGGGATTATGTTTTAATCAAAAAGGTACCAAGCGACACAGCACTTTTTTTAATTGGTTGTGCAGTGCTTTGTTTCCTTGTAACTATCGTACAAACTTAGTGTTTTATAAGCGTCAATTTTGGCTTTATAACGAGGGTATTTACTCCGGTAAAACAAGGAAAGGACACTATTTTATTTGGAAAAAAAGAAAATAGGTCGTGGCGCACAAAAGGTGGGATCTTGTCTTAAGAGCTTAATACCTACTGAAAATTTTACCAAAAAGGATATAACAGAACCGACTCTGTGGTCTGACTCTTGTGGGCGTCAAAATAGTAATATAAAAATTGTATTCATGCTAAAATCAATTTTACAGCAACATTCTACTTAACAAACGATTTATTTGCAATTTTTTGTTTCGGAACATAGTTTTTTACCAAATGACAAAGATTTTGGAGTCATTAAGTATATACGCCACAAGATTATCCCAATATTATGTTAAATGGTAGAAAGAAAAATCCACTTATTGTTTAGTTTATGCAGAAAGAACATTTTTGTAGTGAAGCCGATTTAGAGTGTAGTGTCACAAATAGAAGGCATACATGAACAAAAAATTAGATGCTTGAAAACAAAAATGATTAAACTTACTAAAGATAAACCGCTTTCTATTTTTATGAAAAGTAATCAGGAAAATGAGATCTACAATGAAGTTTTGATGCATTAAAAGAAAAATTTTGGAAAATTGTCTACATTATGGCCCAATGGAAAAACAATTTCGCGTAAAAAGTTGCCAGATCTAAAAACATTATGTCTTTTTATTCCCGAGGGTGCAAAACTCTTTTACAAAAACTTACGGGGAATAAACTGTGAATTTTATGTGGAGGGTTTTTCAAATGATATCGATTTCGAATTAGGGGAAACAAATTTAACATAATAATTTTTGTTTTTGTTTCATGGCATATGTTCCTTTTTATAGCAGGTCGTTAAATTAATATAAATATATATAATATTTTTCAAAAAGTTACTTAGTGCCTTTTTACGGAATAATAAATTTAATATCATGGGTTTCTCAAAAAAGAACCAAGCGCCAAAATGCTTCTTTAAAACTGTAAAGGACTGGGTGTTTTTGATGCCATTAACAAAATAGACTACATTCTTAAAGTCATGTATTCTTAAGGCAAAAATTTTATTCAGACATTAATACAAATTTTTAGTTTTTAATGAAAGTTTACTCTAGTATTACTCAAATTGCAATTTTGTGGTTTAGTACGTTTTTGGTTAACGTGGTCCAATTATTGTTGTGGGAGATTTCAGTGTAAACTTCCTGGTAGATTCATCCCATAAACCGTATTTACTAGATTTATTAGCAACTTTTAATTTAGTTCAAACTATAACAGAACCAACTCTCAATAAGACATGTCTTGATAACATTTTTGCATCTGCAAATAACATTAAGTAATACACGCGAGTCGTAAATTTTAATTTAGCTGATCATACTGCTCAAGAATTATTATCTTTTAATCCAAGGTGCCCACCAATTCAAAGATCTAGTGATAGATATATACGCAACTTTTATTCGACACTTTTATGTCTGATTTTAGAAGACTTTTTGAATTATCATTTCCCTTTAAAAAAATTAAAAAACATGCTTAACGATTGCAAGAAAAAATGGATTACTTCGGAAATCATGAACCTAAAATATACTGTCTCACTTTGTGCAAATGTTAGCCTGCACTTTCCCGTTTTTAAGGATGAATTTAAAAAAATTAGCAAAGAATACAAACACTTACTAATTAAAACAAAACAGAATACAATGAAAACAGGCTTTTCACCTCCACTAACAAAAATAAAACTATGTGGGACATTATCAGAGAGTGTTCTAATAAAATTAAAATTAAAAATGAAGTTAAAATTACCCAAAATGGATTTTCTTTAAACAATCAAGATAGTGCCAATCTTTTCAATAAATATTCCATTAACTTGCCACAGTCTAAAACCTTTTGCCAGTCATAAATTCAGATATTCTCCAAATTATACTTCAACTAAAAAATTCTAAATCATCTGGAGATGATGAAATATCAAACAGCCTATTGAAAAAAGTAGGAACCATTATTGCTGAACCTATAGCACATATTGTTAATTTATCCTTAAGTTATGGACATTTTCCCATTGCACTAGAACAAGCCATAGTAATTCCACTTCACAAAAAAATGATCATCACGTAATCTAATTATAGACCGATTAGCATTTTACCTAGTATATCCAAAATTTTTGAACATGTCATAAACAACAATCTTTTGTCATTTTTAAATGATTACCTTAGACAAATATCCTAGTGTATGGACAAAAACATCTCTTGCCTCGGATTGTTTGGAGATTTTACAAAGGCTTTTGACTGCGTAAGTCATGAATTACTGCTTCATAAATTAGAACGCATGGGATAAGGAGTACAGCCTTTTACAGTGGTTCCAATCATATCTATCAGACAGAACTCAAAAAGTGCTTGTAAATAACACTCTTTCTCCAGAATCGACTGTCACTATCGGGGTACCCCAAGGATCAATTCTCGGACCGACTCTGTTCAATTTTTATTAATGATTTATTAAAATTGGTAAAGAAGACGTCAAAATACCAACTTCATTATTACTGGTGCAGACATTGATTTTCCCTAGTGCAACAATGGGTCAGTAAAAACAAACTATGCATAAACAAAGACAAACTTGCATTTACAATTTTTACTAATATGACAACCCTTCTTAAATATTTGCTGTATTTTCTGTATATTTTCTGAAGGTAAATAAAGTATTATTATTATTATTATTATTATTTAACAGTCTCTTTCTTTTTTGTAGTTTTTTGTTTTTAGTATTCGCTTAACTGTAAATAATATGCTGCCAATATTGTATTTAGAAAAGGTATTACAAACTAAAAATTCTTGTGCATGGTCTCTTTGGCAATTGAAGTGAAAATTGTATTAGTATTTAGTAAAATATACTTATACAGTTATTCATAACTGGTTCAGACCGTCTGAGTCAAAATAGCCAATAATTTAGTTACTAGTTTTTCACAACATTCCCCATAAAAATAAAAAATCAGAATTATGTTACATAGTTGACACATAAAACAATAAATGTTGCTTCATTGTACCTATTTTAAATCCATACAATTAAGTATAGTTGCAAAAAATTGGTGATTTAAGCAGGAAAATTTATCTTTATGTAACGTCATAAAAGTAATTAGGTAGGTATATGTCCAATGTACATATTTATAGTAATTAGTAAAGTACTTACAAATGACAGACATTCACGAATATTTTTCGACTACTGCAGATGTGCCAACAGTTTGTAATTAAAAATAAAAAGATAAGATAAGATAATTAGAGCAAATATGGAGATGTGTAATATAGGTGTAAACCACTTCCTTTGGCATTATTATTTATATGACGTTAGAACCAATACATTTCCAAAATTATAACTTAGCTTTTCGAGTAGAGGCACTCAGGCACATGACATGGATAAAACCACGAAAGCCGATAATACATCCCGGTCATTAATAGATGGCGCTGGGAGTTTAAGATATGAATGTAATATCTCTTCACCCTCTCTGTGTTATATGCGACTTGCGATAACAACATTTGTAAAACAAAAAATATTTTTGTTTTGTTTTACAATTGAATTGTTTTTTTTTAATTCCGCCAATTATTATTATTAGTTTCAATTTTTTTTGTAAAATTACTTGATCTATAGTTGAAAAGAATTTGTAAAATAGGAAACACTAATATCATTTATTCACGTATTCAATTGTTTAGTTTCACACTCGCTACACACCTTTATAAAATAGTCAGAGGACGCAACTTTACGAGTTTCGCAGCACAGCACTGTATTTTTTTATAACACATCATCACTGAACCATAAATCCACAGAAAGCGGGTTAAAGCAACTTTAAAAACGATGATAAGTACACGATTTCTTCATTGAAACTTTAGTCGGACAGTCCTTTTCCGTGAAATGAATAAACTGTCACGCACTCAGGAGGTCCACGATATGCACTACGATCCTACAGCAACGAAAACCGAAAATAAACTGCCGTAAACTACATAGTCGACTTATTTCAAACAGCTGCATGCTTTCTACTTGAGTCTTCAGACACCCCTCCACGAGGCATTGACCAATCGCGCCGCGGTGTGGTAGGGATGCTGAAGAAGCGAAGGAGGGGATAATAATATCATTATTTTCTAATTTACAGTTGGCCATGTTTAGTCACAGGTAGTATTGGAATTTCGGACGAAGTTCTACATGGGCGAATGGATATTGTGGTCAGATTGTAAGAACTGAAATCTCTGAGGGAAAATCGGTTTTGTATCGGTTTCTGAAGAATTGTTGTAACGTGTCCAGTCGGGCTGAATGCGTTAGTTGGTACATATGTACATTGATTAATAAGTGTAATAAACAAACATATAGTGTAGATATGTATTTATCGATACAATTTATGAGATATCACAATGTCAATAAATTACTCAGAGGAAGTTTTCTAATGACTATTACAGTAACGAATAGTACAGTTGGGGTATTAACCAGTGACTAATGTCACGATTATTTTATTCGTTTCGGTTTATTTGGGATATAAAAAAAATAATAATTGTTATCTGGAATTGTTATTGTTTAGACCCTCAAACACCACGCAAGTGAGAATTTTAAAATCAATGTTCAAATATCACGCTACGAATTTATAAAACGTTATCTCGTGGAAAAAAAATCAACTTTAGATAGACTTCAATTATTATTTGTTATTTATACAAATATTTGTTAAATGGAGATATATGACATCGAATTTTTGTTTTGTGTTGCAATAAACTACACGTCTATACGTGTCTCAATAAACCTAAATTAACGTGACTCATTAAGTGATAAGATTAATTATTAAGTTCCTATGCAGAGTGTCTTTCTTTCTTTTTAAGTACACGTAACAAAATGTTTGCAAATTTGATAAAATATTATAGCAAATAATAAATTTCGAACCTAATTTTTTGTATGTGTACCTACAGCCTAAAATAACATAAGTAAATAAGAAATTCATTCAGTCTATCTACTTTGACTGTCAAATAAAAACCTATTCTATCATACAAATTTGTTGAATTTGTTCTTGTTAATTTAAAAAATATCTTGAAGAAATCCACACTTGTTACTCTTATTTGAGGAGATTAAAATATTTCTACACTCAATAGGTTGAAATACACAATTAAAAAAAAATTGTCCCGGGAAAATACGTAGAATCACTTTAATGTTGCTACCAAATTTCATTTTCACCAGCCAAAAATTTATTTCCTACATTATACTAAATTGACAAATCTCCATAGTTTATCTTTACAAAATTTGAACAAAATAATTTTGTAGTGTAATAAATACCTAATAAACCTAAAATCAGTTGACGAAGTTAAACTGATAACGGTTTAAATGTTAGTTCACATGTCTACTATAACACGGAGTCTTTAAATTTATAATCTAGGTAGGCCGGTAATTTAGAATCGTATCTGCGTGCGGATTGCATACACTACACGTCGGTCAAGTGTCAAGTTAATTGCAGAGCCGTAATATCTAACCTAAAAAAGAGACTTTTTATTTCAAAGCCAACCTAGATTAGTAATTTAAAGAATTATACGGTATTATAATTAATAGCGAACTTTTCGAATTTTATTCTCACGCTATTTTGGATAGATGCCGTGTAATACTAATGATAACAGTACTGTATTCCGAAATTTTCGAGAAGAGTGAACAATTTAATCACTGAACTGAAAAGCGTTTATCCGTATATAGCGTAAGCTCAATAAGTACAAATGGGCTTTCAGCAATAATAACAACAACTTGAAGTGTTTAAATTTATACACAGAAAGAATGTAACGTAGAAATTAGTTTGATTTAAATGAATTTGTCGTCTCAAAACAGGATTAAAATTATTAATTAAGTCACAATCGAATAAAGTGTTCTGAATATTGTAATTCTTATTTAATCATTATTAAGAAAATGGTGTGACTCGTTCTTAATGTGACCAATAAAAATTAGAGAGTGATTAATTTTATTAAATTTAATTTATCTAATGAAAAAACGGAGATAAGTTAGTTTGACAGATATATTTTGGTTAAAAATTTACCACGCTTAACTTTAAAACGTCTGCAAAATTTCGGTTTTGCAGTTCCTAATTTAATCAATAAAATAAATCGACTCATTCATAATTTTTGTTACCCTGTACAAGCAATACAAACATTCGGGCAATGATAAATGAAGTATAGATTTATTCGGCATAATTTTGAGATGACGCCATCAATTTTTTTTCCGAGGGGCGGGGGGGAAATAAATAGACATATTTTGAATAAAAATTTAACATGTCTGCGATAATTTTGAAACACCTGGAAGATTTGAAAGTATTCGATTTCGCGGTTTCTGATTTAAGCCATAAACTAAATGGACTCGTTTATTAACATTTTTTGTCACCCTGTATATCTAAGTAGTTCTAAAAATATGAAGACAATGATCAATCGCATCAAATATAGAGAAAAAAAAATTACGTCATCCATTTGTTGGCGGGATAAACAAATCTGTTTTGATTAAAGCTTTACCGTGTATACGATAAAATTTAAAGGTCAAAATTTGAAAACATCTGGTTTCAAAATTAAACTGAAAAATGTTATAAGATTTTGATTTTGTTTCCAAAAATCTGGATGTCATGGGTAAAATTCAACACATATTCATGAACCACACTGGTAAGAGTATGTATGTTATTTTATACAATTTAAAAACCATTTACTATGTACAATTTTGAGATGACGTCACGACATTGTAAGAAACTACCATGTGAAACTAAGTTGTTGTTGTTGAAAGAAAACTATATACCTATGTCAAGAAAAAAACAAGTCAAAAATTAAGCCCCGCCCACCCACCCCAATCTAAAATGTGATGAATTTTTCATTCGTTGTTAGTCCGAGGGGCGGAGGTTAAGTATAAAATCGATATTTTCCAAAATAAAAATTTACGATTTTAAACGTCTTCAAGATCTTGGGAGTGACAAGATCATTACATTTACCTATCCATCGCCGTCTCAGTGGTATTGATTTCATTTCTTATGAGCCCGGGGGCGGAGTTTAATTGCAAAATCCTTATTTCTTCATAAAAACTTTCGTTTTTTTAAGTTTGGTGTTAAGTGAAACCTGTATATATTTAGAAAAAAAAAAGAAATAGAAAGCCCCACCCACCCGCCCTTATCTCAGTTGTGATAAATTTTTCACCAAAACATGTTTTAAGTAAGTATTATCATATTGTTCAAAATAGATCATTTTAAGAAAAAGGAGACTGTGTAACCTTCTCAAAAACAAAAGATGTTTTACATGATAATTTTTTGTAGAGAAACAAAGATTTTGCAATTAAGTTCCGCCCACTTTGGCTCACGGTGAATAAAGAAAAATCATCACAAATGCGATAGGGTGGGTGGGCGGGATTTGTATTTTGCAATTTTTGTCTTAATATACATAGCCTTCCCTTCACAATAAAAAACTGGAAACATGTTTAAAATGGTAAATTTTATCCCCTAAACTTCTCTACAAATTTATTGTTGTGAAAAGAAAACTATGTGCACATATTAAAAAAAGAAAGCATAATGCAAACCCCGCCCACCCACCCTTTTCTCAATTGTGACAACTATTTTTATTCGTCGTGGGGCGGAGCTTAACTGCAAAATATTTATTTCTCTACAAGAAACTACCGTGTGAAATTTGTTTTTAAGTATTATGTTGTTGAAAGAAAATTGTATATTTCAAGAAAAAAGAAGTCAAAAATTAAGCCCCACCCACCCTCCCCAATCTCAAATGTGATGAATTTTTCATTCGTTGTTAGTCCTAGGGGCGGAGCTTAATTGTAAAATCGATGTTACTCAAAATAAAAATTTACGATTTCAATCGTTTTAAATATCTTGATGTGAAAAGATCATTACATATATGTATCTAGAAAAAAGGCAAAATTTAAGTCCCGCTTATTTTTCACCATCTCACTGGTATAGATATTATTCCTTATGAGCCCGGGGACGTAGTTTAATTGCAAAATCCTTATTTTTTTACAAAAACTTATCGTCAAAAACATGCTTTTTTTTAATATGGTGTTGAAAAAAGCCTGTGTATATTTAAAAAAAAAAAAAAAAAAACAAATAGAAAGCCCCACCCACCCGCCTTTATCTCAGTTGTGAACAATTTTTTACCAAAACATATTTTAGGTATTATCATATTGTTCAAAATAGATCATTTTGAGAAAAAGGAGACTTTGTAACCTTCTCTCCCCTACTATG